TGCTTCTTAATGCGAGAGAAACGAGACATATTGTAGATAAAATTTACACACGTTTGTATTTTTTCAAGCAAATATTTTCCGTCTTCGCGTGTAAAGCTTTTCGCTCGGTTGACTCTTGTATGGAAATCAACTGTTATTGAAAAATCGACAGGAGCTGTCTGAAGATTTTTCCTGGGGAGATTTTTCAGGCTATTCCTATGAATTTCACACAATCTGTGAGGCTTTTTCAAATGGAATATTGCGCCATACATTATTCAATTAAACATAATCATTTTATGCGAGCGAAATTCTACATTGCGAGAAGATTGGCAATAATGTGAAATATTCACAACACTGAGCGGGATTTTTCTTATGATTATTGCAAGAATAGCGCATGTTTAGTGGCAATTCTATGCAATTTTCTCGCACAATAAAACCTATCATTCTCATACAATCTTTTCTCTCTGCTTCAAATTCTACATTTCACTATTTTCCACACATGAAAGGGATTATCACAAAATAAGTTATTCTTTTGCCAGGCATGCCAAACTATTCAGAAAAACATGGACATGAAATTGACGTAACAACATGACGTCATATGCATTAAAAATCTCCGCGATTGCTTAACAACCTTTTCAGTTCAGCTTCTCCATTGGCTTGAATGCCAATATTGACATATTTTAAGAACCTTCGATGGCAAATTTAGATGTTAGATGACTTCAAAAGGTATTGTAAATGTGGAAACGTGAGTTTGGGAATTTCATTAACTGATACGCATCTCAATGCGCGCCACTAAAACCCATCGCAGTTTAGGGAGAGCCTCGTTTTGGTCCACAAAAGCATTTCCGACTTTACGATCAAAACTCATCCGAAACTATTTTATGCATTGTAAATTTCTGGAGAATAACAAGGGTAAATCTCGTGAAAAATGTATTCAGCTTTGACAAATTAATGCTGTCTGATTCAGAAACACTGATAATGCTTTCTCAAAGGAGCTCTTAAGCAACATCAAATATTTCAGTTAATCTCTGGGTTAATAGTTACAAACACTCTAGGGGAAGTATTTAAGTTGAGAATTATCAGATCCCTCTTAAATATGAGCAATTAATGCAATTTGGAATATTAATTGACATTCTCTGTCGCAATTAGAATGTGTAAAAATTCCCCACAGCATAAAATTGATTGGATTCCATCTGATAACCTCGGCTCGGGATATCTGTCGCAGATTAGGCCTTTCTTTCTAATTTCATCTCGCAAATCCCTTTGATGGATTCGACATTTTCCATTTGAGTCCCGCCGTTTTGAGGGAGAGAAAAAGAGCGGAAAGATGCCCAAATCACAGTTAATTTTCAACCATATTTCCCGATGAAATGCTGATTTATATGTCTATACCCGAGAAGCTGGGGGGGGAAAGCTAACGAGAGAAGCATCGTCACAGAGACGTTGGGAAGAGAGACAGGTGAAAGTGGGAGGAAAAACCTCAAAATTTGTGTCTCCCACATTTGCTCTTGGGGAGAAAAATTGATGCAAATGAAAGGTTCAATCTGGGGTGGACTTTTCCCACACCGCGTGACAGTCGCTGCCACGCTGTGCTTTCCTGCCGCATCCTTTCCACGGAAGTGTGGGAAATTTTCAGTATTTTCCCCCGCACGCAAAGGCATTTGAATTCTATCTGCCCATCAAATGGGAAACATCTCAACTAGCAATCACATTATGGAGATCATGGGGACCATATTCAACTGTCGCTCGTGATATATTGGAGGAAATTGTGAAAAAGACATCCGTTTGGTAACTTTTTTTCCACACCATGTCAAAGTTTATGTTAGTCTATTATTTAAATTTATGCAAATACATGAAAGTATGCAAATTTACCTTCGGCAAGTGGGAAGAATTGTCCTGCAGCACTTTAAAACTCTTCCCAAAGACATGATGGCCATTTTTATTCACTGGAGGAACAACAGGCCAATTAATCTAAACATCATTCTCAACTTGTTGAGTTGTCTTGTGAATTTCTTAATACACCTCAAGTGCCTTGCATCACACAATTTTGGCCAAGTGTTTGGGATTATTCGACTTGCCAGAATGCTTATTGGCACTTAAAATTACACAGAATAAATACTCTCCCACGAGCGGCAATGACATTCCACAAATGTAAATAACTTAACGATTTCCCATGAATATCCGTCTCGTCGCTGAACATTTTCAAGTCAACCCAGGAGAATTTCAGCTCACAGGGCGTAAATTTGATTGAATTAATTTGATTCTCCCCTCACTGAGTCCCTCATCCGAATTCTCTCGGGAATTTTCAGCACAAGTCAATAAATTTGATTAGATTGATGCAAGGATGAGGATTCAATTATGGCACTTACACCCAAAATATAACACACTTACACATAATCACGCATATGAGAGTAATTAAGGGGCATCTGTGGGTAAATACCAGGGCTTTACAGCTCGGTAATCAGTGTCAAAATTCCCCTCTTTTATTAATAATGGAAAAGATTTATGCGCGAGAATTTTATGTGTGAGACATTTGAAAAGCTCTCGATGAAGGCGAAACAATCCAGCTTGAAATTCAACACGAAAAGTCCCAGGACTAAGTGAAGGAATCGAATATCCTCAATAAAAGCCATTCACACATCCAGAGTTCCATCACCTTTGAACCTCCCCATCAACAAGTTGCTCCACTTCTTCCCTCTCTTCCCGCCGAAAAGAGCTGCCGGAGAAAATACAGTCCTTAATTGTTTAATGGGTAGCAATGCGTGCCATTTAATGGACAGTCAACAATGTTTTTAAGCGCATTTTGCTTAACATTGTCACTTTTGCATGGACATACGTGAAATTTCATCGCTTTCATCACTAACATGACTAACATCATGTCAATTTTAATTACTCTTGTGTTCTCTCAAAACACTCAACACTCTTGAGCTGCATTTCGCGCCAAATTGCTTTAACGTACAAATTGAGAGGCATATAAGGGTTTTTTAAAAATTATTTTTCAGCTGAAAAAATTCACATACGTTCTGGGAATTGAATAACATAGCCGATGAAGCGTGTTTCGTCTCTCATATATCGTCAAGCAGACAATTTGTGCAGAATATTCGATTTGTCGATTGTTATACAATATTACAGAGATTATTCAGAACAATTTCTGACAAAATTGAGAATGTTATTCAATTACATTTTTCATTTTACATGTATGGAATTTGTTATCATCAGTTGTAATGTGATGTGATGCATTGAGCATGGAGAAGTAATGTAACAAGATCGTTTATCAGTGGCGTAGAACATCTTTACGAAGTTGAGGAACAATTCTGTGTGACACAGCAGAAGAATTTTTAAATTTATGTTTACATTTTGTGGTCAAAAATACAAGAGAAAAAGTCTTGGAAATCAGCAATAATTCAATCTAATATCACACGAAAAAGACATTTTAAAATTGCAATTTTCGTCAAATGCACAGCAAAAGAGTTCAAATGAAGTCACAAATCTTTCCTCCTACGCCAATGCATTTAATGCGTCTTTCACTGTTCCTCAAACGACTGTCCCGTGCTGTCTTTTTATTGTGTGACACATGTATAATGCATATTTACTTACGTGCTATACATATGCTATCTTGGCTGAAATCTACAATAGTTCAGTAACCAAGAATACTGAATGGAGTTAAAAATAGCATTGCAATTCACATCTCACCTCGGGTTTTAGCGCAAAGTGAAAAGGTTTTTCTATATTTTCTCATCTTCCACACAAAGGTAAATCCTTTACTTTGTATGAGATCCGTGGGATTAACCCCTAATTTGATTAATTTTTAATTTGCTCTCCCCCTTAAATTGCCACACACTGGGCAAAATATGCAGAAAAAACTGTGGCATGATTAAGGACGGCAATTAACATGGAAAAAAGTACAGCTCGAGTAAATTTTAATGGAAACATTTCTCCACTCTTTAGAGACACCGCACCTGAATCATTCTCAATTCCATCGTGGTTGCGCTTCTTTAACATTCTGTATTCTGAGCCAAGCTCTGTATCACATTCAGTTGAGGTATTTTTTGAGACACACTTCGGAATTTGGCTTATCTGCGTCACGTTTTCCAGTGAAAAGAGAGGAAAAATGAAAATTTTTTTTCCTCCAAATGAAATTAATTTAATTCTGAGGATTTTTCCTTCCACTCCACTGGAATTCCACTCCGTCTCTTGTGGACGACGCAAAGGTCAAAATTGGTGTGGATTGAGTCAATTCGTGTGCGGACAATGAAGAGAGTGTGAGAGAAGAGGTGAAAAGTTGGTGGATGAAATTGTGATGATTAGCTCGAGAGTAAAAAGTAAATAAAATTTTAATTTCAGTCACTTCAGTCACGCTGTATTATCAAATTAAGCATGTTTGAGTGATGGCGGGAAAATTTACGTCATATTTCCTGCGCAACCCCCACTTAATTTTCCTCATCACACTCCCCATTTCGCTCTCATTACAATCAATTTCGCGATATGCGACATCGTTTAGGGGAAGTGAAGCTACTTGGCGAAGACGCGTCCACGATTGCAATTAATGAAAGCCTCCTTACAACGCAAGAGTAATGCTATCAACACGGGAAATTAATGTGTTGAGAGCTACTTTTTGCCCGTCCATTCAATTTACACTGCGCACAAATTGACTCTCAAAGACAAACCATCGAAAAAAACGACATTTTCAATGCGGAGAAACACAATTCATCCACCCACGATCAACTGTTACAGTTCCTAATGCAATTTATGAAGTCTTCAGGGTCTTGTTCATCGACTGTTAATTCCACTTGGTGGAGAGCACGAAAGGATTCCTCGTCTTCTTCAACCGTGGAAATTGATTGCGCAGAGTTATTTCATCCAAAAGCCCATGAGAGCAATTTTGGGTGGAAAAGCATCAAGCAGAAGCGCACACGAGTGAAATAAATCCCCTTTGATTAATTTCTATTGCACGCAATGGGACAAAAGTAATAATTAATTTTCCTCACACTTTTCTTTCTCGCTTTTTTTCCCTCTTCCAGACATGATTTCCACACGGAAGTTCTGCACAATCGCCCTAATGATCCTCGGTGTGAGTCTGATGGCTGTTGCAATGATTGAATCTGTTCCAGTGCCCAGGTAGTTGTAAATAATACTAAACTATTTCGCCATGTTCGATGTTGTGTTTCACAGGCAAAGGGTGCTCTTGTACTCACTAACTTTGCACCATGTTGGGCTTTAGGGAACTTAAACTTTAACTGCACAATGAAGCATTTCACTTGCATCGTGAATTGAAGTCACTTCTTTAAAATCTCCGTACACATTGTGTAATGGATTAAAGCACGTTTTCCATCACGTTCCCCAATAATGAGAATTCAGCGAGAGTTTTCCCCAGTTCGCTGTTGCCCTGAATCGCAACAATAACGCGACTGAGTTCGTTTCTGTCAGGAGTGAGAGGGTATTAAAGAGTATTAAGAAATTGCATTGAAATACCGCAAGAAGTGCTAAAAGTGCTCCGAAGGTTCCTTGCAATGATAAGAAATTACACAAGTTGGTGAAGTTGCTGCTCTGTGAGGAATTGCTTGGGGAAGTCACGAAAATTGATTTATTAAATTAAATTGAAAAACGAACTAAAAATCCGTTGCAATGCTAGACTTTCAAAATTAGGCCAAATATGCTGAAAATATAAGATTAAATCCCTTATGTTGCGCCTACGCATAACAAAGAAATCCCACATAAATAATCACATGCGACCTTTGACTTTTAATAGCTTAAGAATACAATTTTGAAATGCACATAATCATAACCATTTCTGTAACTTGTATTTTTTTTGATAAATTGATGCATTGATGTGCATATAAAAGCAGGTAATCAAAATGTAAAAAAGTTGTAAAAATAATCATAACTCCGGCTCAACGGTTGATTGTAATTTGTTTTATTTCCCACGCAAATTCTTATACAGACGCAGGAGAAATATAAACCAGGTGCTGTTGAGATATTCAGGAATCTCAGGTGTTTCCCTCACCTGTAGCTTGCCAACGGGTTTTGCCGACGGTGGCGGGATTTCGAGGAGTGGAATTGTGTGAATAAACGTGGCTTCTCTGCCACGCTCTTCACAGACTTTCACTCTCACTCTCCGGGCGGATTGAGGAGGTTTCGACTGAATTTATAATAATTTGGTCCTACACACGAAATAACTAATAAATTCTTGAGGTAACTTCAATCTTCGCCCCTTTTGCAGCGCCTCACAATCATCTTAGGGCTTGCGTTTGGGCGAAAACACCATTAAGGCTGGAAGTGTGGGCACACGAAATTTCATAGTACAAAATAATCCAACCCAAACACGTTTTCCACCCCTCGTTTGTGCCCCATGTTATGAATGGTGGATGTGATATTAACAAGTGAAGCATCGGGGGATGTTATTTTGTGTCCTGTTTTGAGGATGTCACGTGCGCGCCTCACTCGAGGACCACTTTTCACGTCCACACATTCACTTCATTGCAGTGACACCCCCAGAATGCCCCTCTTCAGCCATCCTGCACGACATCACTTAAACTTGACCACGAATGTTGCCTTGTTTGATGGCCTGTTCGACTGTTAAAAAGTGAACCTCAAAGGAGGCCAAACAGTTTGGAGATTCACATGCGAAGATACCCCAAAATTCACCTCAAATTGCCATGTTTATGCTGTATCTATGACTTCACCTCATCCGCTAAGTGCCTAGCGCCGAATTCCACCATGAATCTGGGATAAACAGACGAAATATTTGAATATAAACAACATTCTTCCCCAAGGCGCTCAAAATTCACGCCATACTTTAGCCAGAGAGCTCACATTCAGCCAATAATTTTGCAATGTTGCGCAAATATGCTTTTATAACAGACATGTTGTGTATGTAAATGCCGCGAAAATAGTAAAGAACCCCTATTTATTCCTTGCATGTTCTTAAGATGCCTCACAAATATCCTCTTGTTGCGCAATTGCAATTTTATGCACATGTATTTGAAGTTTGATGGACAATTTGGAGGGAGAATTTGATTTACAAACTGCGCGTCCAGAAGCGAAATTTTTCATTCATCCCAGCAGTCCAGGTTAAAGTTCCCTGCTTACGCTTTTCATTGAGCAAACATGAGTTGTCAGCTGAAAATTTTGCCAAATAGACACTTAAGCACGATGTTTTGAAGCTTTCCACCTCCGCGCCGGAGGAAAGCTCTGACAAATACCTGCATGGCAAATTTGTTTTGCCATTTAAGCCACTTTCCCCATCGGAAAAAATCAGGTCAAATACCTATGCAAAGTACTTGTTAATCTGCAGGAATCACCTGTGATAAAATTGTGGCACAGATTCATTTGAGAATATGGCGATGAGGTGTGTTAAAAAATGTCGTTACAAACCTGTTTGAAAACCCTCATGCTGTGTAGAGTTTTCCAGCACTGAAAATGCTCTCAGAAGTCAGGAGAAATCAATAGGAGTGTTTGCTGATTCAAGACAGTCAAAAGAATAAAACAAATTTACATATTTTTGCGAATTTTGTAAACAAGAGCCCAAGTCAGGTATGAGAAAATTGTCTGTTTGTGCGTCTTGAGTGTGTTTTTCAGCTTCCAATTTGTAATCGAGATACGAAATGATATCCAATATTTAGTTTAATCTTGAATTTGGTGAAGGGATAAAAAAACACACCTCATGACGCGACGAAAATGAATTGAATGCAGTAAATTTCGAATTCACGAGCTCATTTTAAATTGACCTCCTCTTTTTAACATACCCACATCGTTTGACACTGATTCTCTTGCGGCCACAAAGGTGAGAAAATAAAACAGAAATTGAATGGAGAGACATAAAACAGGAAGCAACAAAAGGACAAAGAGGGAAGTCTCACATCCATTTAGCCCCGTATTTTCTCTATATATTGTAGGCTGTGCATTATAGACACAAAGCATAAATAGAATGGAATCATGCCAACTTCCGTTATCGCCCTTTTCCCATTATCAGTCTATAAAATTATATATAATGAACTTCCCATCGATTTTTCACACACATGAGAAATGCTGAAAAAATCCGCATGCAATCAAGGATGAAAATTATTTAAATGTACGAACAGAGGAATGCTTGTGTTCATCTGAATTTTCTCTAAAAATATTATTCTAGCATTTACAGAAAATCCGAAAGAGCATTCGAATTGAAATTCTCTAGAATTGTGCTCTTTTTATTAAAGAGTGAGAATAAAACGCGGACAGAAATTCCACCTATTTTCCGCTAATTCCTGAAATTTGAAAGCGAATTTCTGTGTTTGTCTAATTGAAATGTGCACTCTTCCTTACAAAGCGCCATTCTGCACTGTAATTAGCGCTGAAACGCGACAAAGTTCGCCGCGGAGGAAGTATTATGATTATTCAATTCATTCCAATTCGGGTGTTGCGTCTGCAAACCACGAGACTCACGCGAGAAAGCGACCTCGTCTGGGGCGCTTTAAACCGCGTGTTAATCAGCATTAACACCCCCACATTTGAAAATCAATTAACAACACAGATTTGCATATATCATGCATTTCGGAAAAGGTCGAGTGGCAAAATTGGTATAATTACCAGAAAATCTTATTACTAAATTAAATTCACAGCTCATGATTCGATAAATCAACTCATCAGACATTTTCCCGCGTGTCTAGCCAAGCGGAGAGTGTAAGTTGATAAAATTCGTCAAATTGAGGAGGACAATCGAGGTGATGGAAGCCCAACACTTCACTCTAAAATGGTTGCCATCGCCCAAAGATAGAATATAAAACGTTTTCCCATCCACCTGACGTGGCCCATGAGGGCATGAGATCTGGAAATTCGCACACAAAAAGCATCCACTTTTCCAGCCTCTGAGCGATTTCGTGTGTCAGACGGAAAATTGGCATAATATATATTCATTGTTGCATTCAAATTTATGGTAGAAAATGCGAACATGACTATATTTCACACTCGATCTTCCTTCCGTTTTCCCACGCTTTTCCTCCTCACTTGTTTTCATGTCTTCTTTTTCTTCGCGCTCTATCTGTGAATGCGAGTGGAAAATTTACCTTGTACGAAAGTGAATTTCGGGAGCACGTGTGAAAGCGCTTCCAGCTTGAGCTTTTGATTTATTTCATGCAAATCAATATGAATTTGCATTAACTTTGTGAAATACGCAACTAAAGTATCGATTTCGTGTACTTCAAACGGCAATTTGACACCTAATTCTGTGGAAATATCCTCAGTGAGTGTGAAGGTAATTGAAATTCGAGAGAAACTTTCGAATCTCGAGCTTCCTTTGACTCTCGAAGCAATTAAAAAGCTCTGAAAATAAGCAGCTTTTCCCAAAGTCAGTAAATAAACTCCTAAAAATCCCGTGAAATTCACCAGACACTTTGAAAGTTGTCCCAAATGTTGAGCAATTTCGTTTTATGATTAATTTACGAATGATTTTAATTTCCGCTCCTGCAGCCACAGTGGATACTACAATGAGATTGAGGAGCAACCGGAAGATGTGCTGATGGAATTGATTGCTCGATTTGGTCAGACAATAATGCGAGCGCGTGACGATCTGGAAAAGTGAGTAAATTGGAAAGCCATTCCGCATTGTTGATTGACTTTCGCCACACGCATTTTCGGCCGAATGTCGCTGGAAGAGAATGAAGAACATCGTCTGCAGACGAGTCACTTCAATATTATGCATCACAAAGACACCAAAGCTGCGTCACAGTTTTCCCTGGAACTTGTCCACCTCTGGGCTAAATGGAAAACAGACACAGTGTTATCTCGGATCCGCAAAGTTTTTCTTCTGATAAAAATTTAATTTATGCACAATCACGTTCAGTTTTTACTACTCTCACGTCCATTGATGTTTTCTGACTTTTAATTGAGTCTCTTTTTTCCTCGCACAGCTCGAAACGAACTGTGGACTTTGGCCTGGCGAGAGGATTTTCCGGCATTCAGGAGGCCAAGCATCGCATGGGACTCGCGGCGGCCAACTATGCTGGCGGTCCTGGCAGGAAGAGGCGGTCTGACTCCACTCCTGTGGCCCCTCCGGACAGCGAAGCTTAAGCTGCAGGCGCATCACAAGGACAGCTATTCACTATCCTTTCCCCACCGAGTGTAAAAGATTTTGCAGCATTCTTCTTCCTGCTCTCGCCTCTTCGCCTTTTGCCAAAGTGTCCCCAAAATCCCCGCTAAGTCTCTCTCTCCTCTTCAGGGCCGAACAAAATCAAGGATACGCCAATTTTCCCCTTCTCCTTTCTTTGTTAACAAGTCTCGATTGACAAGAATTCCAAGAATATATATATATATTATTATAAAAATTAATAAAAAAAAATCGTGAAAAAACTGTGTAAAACCATTAGGTTAGCATCTGTTCCTTGCACTTTTTCTCTGAGACCGACAAAGTATTTATGAAAATGAACTTGTCATTGATAAATCTTAAAAAAAAAAACATCAATTCTGCGTCTAAAACAATAACTTATAAATTATTGTGGTGTACATGAGATATAAAAGTATATATATACATAAAAATATGGATGAAAAGAACCTACCTATCTCTATATGTAAATGTTGGCAAAAGAAAATTACATTAAACATTATTGTAGATGAATTACTATATGTTATGATTCACACATGAAATATATTAGTTGAGTTTTATTATTTACTCAAAACTCTTTCAATAAAATTCAGCAAAGAACTTTTCTATCCGTTGCTTCACATGTTGCTGAATATGAATTTGAACTTTCTAGTAGAAAATGTAGGAAAATTCACCTCTTCACATCTGCAATAAGTCTGCGTCTCTGCTTGGGAAAATTCGTATAACAGCGCATGAACTCTCGATCCAAGACACTCTGCGTGTATAACAGTTACACGGCCTTTCAACTAATAAGCCAACCGAACAACTGAGATAATCATTACTCTCGTACTCAATTCATCAATTGCACGTTCCTGGAATTCGTGTTGTGTCTCGGAAAAGGTCATGCACTCGCACAGTGTGATTTAAAGGGCGCTGAAGAGATAAAAAAAAGAATACATCCGGTGAGGGAAAAAAGTGCTGACAAGAGCGCAAAGTGTGTAAAGCGGAAGTGCAGTAGAAGAGCTTTTGCGATATAATTAGTCCTGACACGAGGACACTTTGTGAGTTGAAAAGTCCTTATTCTGCTCAAATTTGCGCAATTGACGCTGGGAAACAATTATACGGTTGTAATATCAAACTTTTTGTCACACTCAAATTCCAGACCACTCACTTCACTCGATCCTTTTTGCGACTGTTACCCGTGAAATTTCCAGCGCTTTAATTGGGTTACAGCAGCCTTGACTTGCTTTGATATTTCGGTTGATGCCCCACAATTCCCCCAAAGGTTACATCCAGAAGTCCTTTCGAGTCACAGGAAACCTCACAGCTCGAGTGCATGTAGAAGAGCCGTGGCGAGTGCTAATTGGAATTTGAGACACTCTCGCCCGAAGATGAGAAATGCATTCAGATGAGGAATAAAATAATCAATTCGTCGAGTGGGACGTATTTCATCCAGACGCTCTCGCTCGGTGACCCAATTATTCACTGCATCAATCAATTCTCTGCTCCTCAAACATTCCCTTCCTCGCGCTGCACATTCTCTGCCCCACACAAGCCACTCCACTTTCGCTCAGGAGTCGAGGAGATGCCGCACGCTCTGGCAATCTCTTAACATGAGATGTAACACGAAGCGAGTGACGGCAGGCGTGAAACTACTGGTTTGGCGCGGGAAGCTTTTGTAATTCAATTTGACTTAAAAACCTCAACTTCTGATGATGTATTCTGCATTTCAAAGCTGCAATTTGAGGCGAATTTTGGGGTTTTTGTTCTCCAAACAAGAGAGAAACTTGCAACCTAGCCCTTCAGAAGAGTTTAATTTTAAGTTAGGTTCTTGGTTAGGTTAGCGTCCTTCCCTCTGTTGGCATATAAACATTCTTCATAAGACGCAACGATTTAACTCACAATTGCAACCTATTTGTCCCAAACGTATACAGATTAAGTTCATCTCATTTTATTGTTCGCTGTAATCCTTCTTTGGTTCCATTTTCTGTACTCAATATAGTGCATTATTGAGGAATATGCATTCCAAATACCTCTTTTGTAACCGGTTGTGAATACAACAGTTGTTGTTTATCTGCAACGCACGAGACAAACACTTTAATCATATTTTTGTGATATCATCATTCCATTCTAAAGACAAGATATCTAATAAAAATGTAATTTAAAGTCTCATTTCTTTGTTTTTTTCATTCTTTAAATCGCTTTAAAATACTCAATATGCATTATATGATCTTTTTGTTTGAAAATTTTGTATTTCAGAAAATTGTGCAAAATGAAACCATCAAACACCATCAAACTAAGACACCACAATTCTTCGGTGTAGGATTTCACAGGAAAAATATCTATAAAAATTCCCTATGGTTTGCGATAGAGCGCTGTATAAATTTGCCTACAGCATCACCTGAAACGACGTGAAATCCTCATTTTGCAGCATGAAACTTTATCCTCTTCCAGTCTGTCTTCCTCTCAAAGTGTGTGCACTTCAAACTGCCACACACACTTTAATCATCCCGGCAAACTTCCCTGTCAAAGAGGTGAAATTATTTCCATTTTCACTGTTGTTATTGGAATTTGTTCAGTTAAAAATTCAAATGTAAAAATGACAGCTGCGCTTGCAGCGCCAATAGTGTGTAGTGGAGAAAAAGTGAAGGAGGAGAGCGTCGGTGAGTTTTTCTTTGTGGATTAAAAGAGAGAATACGATAAAATTCACGGTGTTGTTTTATTCCCAACAAAGTGGCGCCCAAACGTGGGACAAAATGGACAATAATACTGAGTTAACCGGGCGAGGAAAAGTGTTAAGTGCAGAGTTGTCTTCTACACTCGCTCAGATGGCGGAACTCAACCGCAAAGCTGAGGAGCTCAAGAGGCAGCTAGCCAAGGAATATGAAGACGGGGAGTGCTCCACAGATGAGGAGCCTGATATAGGATCTATTCCGACCCCTCGAGGGAAGGCGCAGAGTGACAGAGACTCAGAGTTCCGGGAGTTGAGTCTCACCATGGCCCAGCAAAGTCAAAGCATCGCAAAGTTAACTGCGCGTCAGTCTGGGCTGAAGGAATTGCCACGGTTCTCGGGAGAAGTCGAGGAGTGGCCGATATTTCTCAGCCAATATGAGCAATCCACGAATTCCGGTGGCTATTCGTCGGCAGAGAACGTCTCCCGCTTGGAGAAATGCCTGTCAGGAGAGGCACGCAATGCGGTTAAGACACTTCTATCCATCCCTACGAGTGCTGAGCTCATCATCAACACTCTACGCCAAAGGTATGGCAATCCACGCCAAATGTTGCAGCGCCTAACTGCACAAGCAATAGCCGCAGAGAAGCCGAAGGATGACAATCCGCACTCCATCATCAATTTCGCGACGTTAACGCGAAACATTACTTTTGCGCTCAAGAATCTGGACGAGGGGAGGTTCCTTTTTGGCTCGACTATCTTAGACGAACTGGAGAAAAAACTTTCGCCGCTGATGAAGATGATGTGGGCGGAAGTTATCCACGCGAAGCCAAACTATACACTGGAAGACCTTGCGGACTGGCTGGGAAAACGTGCTGAGTTTGCAATACATATTGCTCCATACTGCGAGACTTCACAGCGTGTGGAGAAGAAGGAAGAGCGGCACAAGCGACCGATGAAATCGACAAATACCAAGCCGGTATTCTTGGCTGATGGCAAAACAGTCCGATGTCCTAACTGTGAAGGAGAGCATTTCATCCCCGCCTGTCCCGCCTTCCAAGAGATGTCCCCGGATGAACGCTTCGATAAGATAAAGGAGTTGGAGCTCTGTATAAGCTGCTTTCGACCAAATCATAGAGCGTTCAGATGTTTCCGACGCCGCGAATGTGGACGAGATGGCTGCAAAGATATTCATCATCGCCTTCTACATGGTCACAGCCGCCGCACCAAGAACACAGCCACAGCCATGAATTCCGTACCGCAAGAAGGTAAAGAGGAACCAAAGAGTAAGTGAAGAATATAATTTTGGATTGAATCTTGTAATTCAAAAAGCAAAGAGGAAATAAAATTAAAGGGTCCTGTGGGATGAATTAAAATACTGGTACTTGAGAAAGTGGGAGTTAGAGAAATAAAGGAAATGAACAAGATAAGCAGGTTTAAACAAGTTGTTGTATCACTTCTACTAAGAAGGGAATGATGATAAATTGTGAGGGGAAATGAAAAAAAAAAAAATTTGCCCGCCGAGAAATCGGAGAGTGGCCTGGAGATCTTGCCCGCCGAGAAATCGGAGAGTGGCTCAGAATTTGCCCGCCGAGAAATCGGAGAGTGGCCTGGAGATCTTGCCCGCCGAGAAATCGGAGAGTGGCTCAGAATTTTGCCCGCCGAGAAATCGGAGAGTGGCCTGGAGATCTTGCCCGCCGAGAAATCGGAGAGTGGCTCAGAATTTTGCCCGCCGAGAAATCGGAGAGTGGCTCGAAGTGTTTGTTTGCAGAAGGTTGAAAATAATCAAATTGAATTAGAGAGTTGTGGCCTATAACTATGAATAATGGATAAACTCAACTTTAGAGGGAAATTAAATGACAATGGTTGAGTCGGGATTTGTAAGTCAACTGAACTCAAATAAAATAAAATTAATGTATAATTTCAGGTGAAAAAAAGATGAGGGATGTGATTTCTGCATCGCTGAAAAGTTCCACAGCGAGCATGGAAACAAATGAAACGCTGATGGATCGAGCCGCGGTTGTAGAACGGGGCAATCAGTATCTCGATCTCGAAAACACGACATATATGCATCGCGTCTACGCAGCCGCAAACATCCATAGAAATGGAATCGTCATGTTACGTGTGGCACCGGTTATGTTAAGAAACCCGCGGACCGGAAACACACTGAGTACATTTGCACTGTTAGATTCGGGCGCTACAGTCACGCTGATTGATAAAGGTATAGCGGAACACTTGACTTTGCGTGGAAAACCAACCTCCATGCGGCTGCAGTGGTTAGATGGCGTTGCGCGAAGCCAAGATACGGTTACTTGCGTAAATTTGCAAGTTAAGGGACAATATGAAAAAGCGAAGTGGTTTAACCTCGACCATAGTTATGTGATCGAGAATCTTAAGCTCCCAGAGACGAATGTAGATCGAGAAAAGCTAACACGGAATTATCCTTATTTAAGCAACGTGAAGTTTGAATCCATAAGACACGAAAGGCCAACAATATTGATCGGAGAGGACAATGCTAAATTAATTGCCACTCAGCAAATGGTACATGATGCTAATTACAAACCGGTGGCGTCATTAACAGCGTTGGGGTGGGTTATAAGTGGAATGATCGAAAGCCGGCAAAGACAGAACGCGAGCAAACAGATGGTATGTCACGCGTCGGATAATGCAGAACTTATTGAGCTACTGAAACATAGTTTCAGCCTAGAGAGTGTGGGGATAAGGCCTGCAGCGGAACCTCGGTTGACCAAAGACGAACAGCTCGCATATGAAATTCTCAATAACACGACGAAACGCATGGGAAATAGATTTGAGGCGGGACTTCTATGGCGAGTACCTCGCACCTCAATGCCTGCGTCAAGAGCAGCTGCCTGGCGACGGCTTCAACAGACTGAGGCAAAAATGGATAGGGACCCCGAGTTTGGACGACTATATGTAGAAAAAATGCAACATTACCTCAATGAAGGCTACATGATACCTCTTGAGGAAAGTGACTCGGCAGTCCCGGCTGAAGAAACATGGTATCTACCACATTTCGGAGTGATGAATCCCAACAAACCGGGGAAACTTAGAATTGTTCTGGACGCAGCAGCTGAGGTTAACGGAGTGTCCCTAAATAAGCGACTTGTCAGTGGACCAGACCTCACGACATATCTACCTAAGCTTCTGATGCAATTTCGTGTAGGTCTGCATGGATTTGTTGGCGACATCAAGGAGATGTTCCACCAAGTACGTATTCGAGGGGAAGATCAAAACTATCAGAGAATTCTTTGGCGAGCTATGGATCGAGACAGAATACCACAGGAATACAAGATGACAGTGATGATATTTGGAGCAACTTGCAGCCCGACAATTGCGGCGTATGTAAAAAATAGAAACGCCACAGATTACCGAGATGAATATCCTGCAGCTGTTCAAGAAATTGTTGATAAACACTACGTTGATGATTATTTGGGCAGCAGCGACAGTGTGGATGAAGCAGTGCAACTTATCCATGAGGTTGTGGATATACACAAAAAAGGAGGATTCGAAATAAGAAACTTCGTCAGTTCTTCTCAGGAGGTTCTAAAGAAAATACCATCAGAGATCCGGTTGCAAAAATCGATGGTTGACCTCGACTTAGAACCTAAATTTGAAAAGGTTCTTGGTGTATGGTGGGAGCCATTAACTGACGTCTTTTCCTTTAGAGGTCAAACGGACATTCCTCTGGACACAACACCGACAAAACGTCAAGCACTGTGTACATTAATGAAAGTATACGACCCAATGGGATTCGTGGCGCAATTCATTATCAGGGGCAGAATCATTCTACAAAAAATCTGGCGAACGGGGATTGAATGGGATGATCAGATGCCTTTTGAGATTTATCAAACGTGGCGAGGATGGGTGGAGCAGTTACAGTGCCTAGAAGAGGTGGAGATTCCGCGCTGCTACGCACCAATACACATGAAAAAGGGACGAGTTGAGTTACACACATTCACTGATGCCAGTGAGGATGCGTACGCGACAGTGATTTACCTTCGCTTCATAGTCGACGATCAGATTCATGTGTCACTGGTGAAATCAAAGGCGAAAGTATCTCCGCTAAAAGCGGTGTCGATTCCCCGACTGGAACTGCAAGGAGCAGTTATAGGTTCCAGATTGGCCAGTTTTGTCGCAGCAAATATCGGAATAGCAATCCATAGGAGAATATTCTGGACGGATTCAACAGTGGCTCTTCACTGGATCAAGTCAGACTCACGCAACTTCAAGCCCTTCGTCGCCAATCGAGTGGGAGAAATTCAAGAAGTGTCTGATCCTGCTGAGTGGCGCTGGGTACCCACAGATCTGAACGTTGCTGACTTAGCAACAAGAGACAAAGGATCAACGGACTTCGCCCCGACATCTGTGTGGTACCGTGGACCAGAGTTTCTCCATCAATCAGAGAACACGTGGCCAAAGCAGCGAGAGGAAGAAACGCCTTTAGTGGCGATAGCGGAAATAGCAGAAGATACGCAATTCAAATCACCGATAAACAGCAAGAATTATGTTAAATGGCACCACATGCTCAAGGTCGCAGCATTCGTCTTCCGTTTTCAACGGGCTTGCAAGGAACGTTGGAGAACGAAATGTAACAAAGAGCACCGGAAGATTGGAACTTTAGACGCAGCCGACTGGAAAGGAGGTGAAGAATACCTGATAAAAATCGCTCAACGAGAAAGTTTCCAAATCGGCGGGGTGATGGAGGAAGCTACGGATACAACAAAATTACGTCCGTGTATTGTTGACAAGAGCAGTGTATTATACAAATTCAATCCTGCAATCGACCAGAAAGGATTCATCAGAGCGGATGGACGACTACAAAGGATGCCCCGTGTGTCACCAGAATTCAGGAACCCCGTCATCTTACACGCGGGCAATCGCATTGTACAGTTAATGTTAAATTCTTATCACGAGCGCTTGGGCCACTGGGGGGCAGACCATACTTTAGCTGAATTAAGGACCAGATTTGAGATAATCAAGGGAAGAGTCACCCTTAAAAAGCTGCAACGTGGATGCAAAATATGTCAGATTGCGAGGGCAAAACCAAGAATCCCCATTATGGGACAATTGCCACCAGAACGACTTGAATCGCATGTAATCCCGTTCACCTACACGGGATGCGATATGTTTGGACCGATAATGGCCAAGGCTGGAAGAAGTGAGGTCAAGCGCTATGGGATGATATTCACCTGCCTAGTCACTCGGGCAGTCCATCTTGAGTTGTGTACTTCTATGAGCACGGACTCTTTCCTAATGGCGCTTCGAAGGTTCTTCGCACATCATACAGTACCCAAGAAGATAATGTCCGACTGCGGAACCAACTTCCGTGGAGCCAAGAAGGAGTTGGCGGAGGAGAGGTCAAAGCTTAATTTTGAGGACGTCACCCAAAGAATGGCTCAACTAAATGTAGAGTGGGTTTTTAACCCACCATACGCACCCCATATGGGTGGATGTTGGGAAAGGCTAATTGCATCTGTGAAACACGCGCTGAAGATGTCTACAGAGTTATCAGCACACCCTCCGAGTGATGAAGTACTTGCAACCTTACTCGCAGAAGCTGCTAATATGGTGAATAGCAGACCTTTGTTGGAGTTATCAGATTCCGGGGAGTCTTTAACACCGAATCATTTCCTGCGTCACCATAAGTCGTCTCTCACATCCGGCGGAACCTTCGACGACAAAGATTTGGTGCTCCGCAAAGAGTGGCGGAAATCCCAGAGACTCGCCGATCATTTCTGGCAGATTTGGACAAAACATTACGCGCCGACACTGTCAAACCGACCAAAATGGAGAGAGTCTGAAGAAACAGTGAAAGTCAACGACCGTGTCGTAGTTATGGATCCGAATCGCCCCAGGAACTACTGGCCGACCGCAAGGGTGATCAAGATAAGGCCGGGCTACGACAAGAAGGTGCGTGTAGTGGTCATAAGGATGGAAGAGGATCAGAAGGAGTATACACGTCCGGTGGCGAGATTAGGAGTACTGCAACCGCCAATGCTGACCCAAGATTGAGACGTGAGCTTGGAATTGGGGCTCTAAAGGCTCCCCAATTCGAGGTGGAGTGTTATTGGAATTTGTTCAGTTAAAAATTCAAATGTAAAAATGACAGCTGCGCTTGCAGCGCCAATAGTGTGTAGTGGAGAAAAAGTGAAGGAGGAGAGCGTCGGTGAGTTTTTCTTTGTGGATTAAAAGAGAGAATACGATAAAATTCACGGTGTTGTTTTATTCCCAACAACTGTTCTCTGAAAACCAGCAGGATAAATTTGCTCTGCACAACAAAGAAGTCTGCTGACGCACAGAGAGACATACAAATGAGAAGATTCTCTCTCTCTCTCTTTTTTTCTGAGGTCGAGACATGCAAATTCGAGGATAATTATTAAATTGCACAAAAGACAAGAGCGTGTGTGTGTAAATAATGACGGGAAAAGGTAAGAACAAAGTGAAAAGCCGCCGAGTTTGTGTGGTCCCGAGAGTGTAAGCAACCACGCACTTCCCTGCAAATGATCCCACTCGGAAAATTCATCTCTCTGGCCAATTTGGGAGTGTACACGAGACGTGCTCAGGTCCTAATTAAACATTGAATGCACACGCCATGAATGTCGAATGAGACTGAAATGTGGCATTCGATCGGGAACTGGCAAAAATTCTTGCTGTCCGTGTGATTCTGGATGCGGCAGAAAAAGTGTCACACGGACTCTGAAGTCGAGCCAATTGATCTGGCTCTCTCGCTCGGCGCTGCCCTGGAATGGAGATGGCAAATTCTACGCAATTAGCTATTCAGTGAATTACTTCTACTCGAGATACTTTCATCAGAGAGTGGCCAGCGTTTGAAGTGGTCTCTGCACTGCTCACCTGATATCTCATTGCCGTGTCCACCCTCACGAGAGAGGTGTTGGCAAGCGCACGGGCTATTTTTATCTGTGAATGGCTCCCGCCAAAGGGTGGATCATGTTAAAAACGAATTATAAAACCAGCGAAAAGACCACCAATGCTTGCGGCAATTGGGATTCCCTCAGCGATGAATTAACCTTCATAAACTTCCAACCCTAATAATCGTAAACAATCGCGCATTTTCCCCGATTCACAAGGACTGTGAATTCCTGAGCAGCAGCCAAAAGGAGACCAGAAAACTGTGCCACTCGACTTTTTTTTTTACTAAAATTTAATTTTATTAAATCATTTCACTTCATTATACATTCATTATCTCATATTTTTTTTCCTTTTTCATCTTTTAAATAAACACTATTTAGATAAAATGTAATTAAATGTTATTGTTTTTCAATTTTGTCAAATATTTTCTTTTGTAGGGATTTTTCTTTTGCTAAAATGTTATACGTGGTATTATTTCCATTGCAATCTTTCTTCCCTTTTAGTAGTTTTTTTTAATGAATTGGTTCCTTCACACACGATTTTTCCTAAGGTTTTATTTTTTTTTTAATAATTTCTTCATGGATTCCCGCACTTTTACACCATAGACTTTTCTTTTTCATCATAATAGTTTTATAATTCAATAAAGTATTTGTATATTTTCATCATTTTTTTCTTATAGTTTATAATTTAAACACACATTACATTATGTTTAAGTGGGTTCTCTCACATTATCTATTTTTTAAATCTTTTCCTTAATGAAGCTTTTAATGTTTTGTTTTTTTTACACCCTTCACAAACCTATGATTTCCACCATTTTTCCACTATAATTCTCCTCCTCGCTTGGATGATTTTCTTCTCTCTCTCTTTCTCTATCTTTTATCATGATAACAAGGTAATTATGACAATAATTTAATAATTTACTAGATGAATGCAGTTATTTTGCTATGTACATTTGCAGTTTTTTCTTATTGTTTGTATCTCACTAATATGTTTTCTTTTATTATATGTTAAAATAGTTGGTGACAAGTGTGTTACTCAAGAAATGAGAAATTTCAATACAAAATTTCTTTGAAAAAGACTTTCTCATGCGCATTTCATCAACAACTTGACTTTCTCCCTTCTTCTAAACATTTGTGAAAATGGAAAATATCGAAGGACTTTTTTTCATTTTTAATATACTTCGTACAATTTTTTCTTCTTCTTTTGCTTAAATACGCACTATTATATCAATTTTCATCTTTACTTTAATTTTAATCAGGCAGATCTAAAAAGATTGGTTGTCATTTTTAAGTATATTCATTTGACTAAGTAATTTTTATACTAGACTTTCTCAATTTATGATTTCATCAGATAAGATTTTCCATGACTAAAATACATTCTAAGATGTTTTTTCTCATTACTCAATATTTGATATTATATATCTAGTACAAATGAAAATCAACAAAAATAGACTTGACAAGCATCTTTAAAATTTCTTACTTCTCTCACGATTACACAATTAATTTTACGTTAAAGAATATTATTCAAAATGGGGAGAATTTTTGCTGTGTGTGTTTGTGTGTGATAAAAGTAAAGGGTAAAATTGTGTGGCTTTTACTCTTTTGTGATTTGATGGAAAAATCGTGAATTCTGCATTGTGCTTGTTACCATTTAACAATGAGAAATTAATTACGATCGATTTATCATTTAATTGGTGTAACTCTTGCATTATTATGGGCTTCACTATCATGCTCAGTTTCATCATCTACGAAAGGTTTCTTTTCTCCTTTTACACCACTAATTCATTATATTACTCTTTAACCTCTCTTTGACTCTCATATTAACTTATTACGACACGAAATATTTTGCTTATCTATTACAAAATTGTATGTGATTCTTTATTTCTATCTGAATATTACCATTAATGATGAACTTTTTGTTGTCTCTTCTCACTATGTTTTCATTTTAATCGGTCTTTTGGACACTGTTTCACCTCTTCTCCCTCTTCTATGTGATGCTTTTTATCATTGCATGTGTATTTCTTCACTATTTTGCAATCAATTTTACTGTTACTTTAGTATTATCTATATTTTCTCATTATTTCTATTTTTATATTGCGGATTTTAAATGCGCGGCTCCTTAAACTAAACACAAACTTCATCAACAAAAATGCTACACTAAAACTGCAAGACTTTCTGCCAATTTCTCTTTTTTTCTTCCTGGTTCACCCAAAAGTTCCACAGGCAAAAATCTCTTGAAACTGTTCTTATTTCGCAACATCCACTGTCGCCACTCTCTTTCCTTCTCCATCATCTCTAAATGGATGAATTGTGCCAGACATTTTCGCACTTTTCATCTCATTTTTGAATTTATTCTCTTAGGATTCGTTCAAAAATACATCTTTTGAAAACTAATGGAAATCCTTTATTTACTTTTGCGCCACGAAAAGTGTCTCGGCGATCGTAAATTTGTGAATCTCGCAACCGCAAGACATTTTTCATTTGCTGCTTAGCTCACAAGTGGCGAATTTAAATGATTTTCGTGTCTCAAAATAGCAGCACCATTTTATCGTTCGCTTTTAATGCGCCCCCTATTAAACGAAAATTCTAATTTGTCGCGAAATATGAGAAGGAATAATGAATGTTACGGAAAATATTGTACAACTGTGTTCAGAAAGAAAATACTTTGAGACATTGTAGTTTGAATAATCGCATGGGGAAATCAAATGAACCATGATTCTTTTATTCCTCTACGTGAAGGCGTTTTACAAAGGCGCGAAAATGTGTTTTTCGGGGCGGAAAAGCCCGTTCTGGAAGACTGTCAACATTTAGAAGAAGCTTCGCAGTTAAAGAAAGGATATTTTCCACACTTCATGACGATTAACTGGCACTATTATTGCTGAACGACGCTTTTCTTCGTATATTTTACTCTATACTATGATTTACGCTTCATTACATTCTGAACGCAGTTGTACGAAAATATTCCGCAACTTTTCATTGCCTCTCTTTTCTCGATGTGATTTGTTATAGTTTGGCTCTTTTGTTCTGCACAATTGTGAGAAGGAGAGAGAACAGCTATTTGCTCTGTTTTCCACTGGGTGACGAATAGCGAGAAAAGTTTAAAAAGGAAAACAATCAATAAAGTCAGTTATTGCAAAAATTCAGTCAACCAACTTTATTATTATGTCCACACAGAAAAGCGATAACAAAGTGTGGAAAACTTTCTGGGTGAAACCAGTGTGAAAAGGTATTAAATCAAGGAGAGAAAAAAAAAACATCACTGATTAAATAAAAAGAAATCACAATATAATATGCAATACACTTTAATGTAAAATAATATTTACAGAAACACACTTTTACAATGCTTTCTCTACTCCTTTTTTTGCAAATCTTTTCGCTTTTTGTCAAAACAATACAACACAATAACAACTCAAGAATATACATAGAACTTCTCTTTCTCTCTCTTTAAATATACTTATTTTTTTGTTTTGGATTCATCTTCGTAAAGCCTATATAATTCACCCCTCACAAATCGTTTACAATTAGAGGACACTTTTCACCTAAATTTTATGCACGACGATCAACTAGAATATTCTGAAAATGATATTTAATAAATTATATAGCTTGACTGTATAATGCTGAGCAAAATACTTGTGAATAAACAGGTAAAGGTAGAATAAATAAAAATTGCAGTCGAAGACACACACATTCGGAGGAAAAAAGTCGCCATTCTTCCTCCAAATCATCCCTTATTTTTTTTCACGTATGGAAAGAGTTTTTCTTTTGCTCTCGCATTTTTTATATTTTGTAATTCAACTTTTTCCCCCACAAATAGAACAATAAAAGATAATAAAATTGCATTTTTTACTTGCTCTCTCTCCATGTCAGCAAATCCCCAATGCTCAACTCTTCTCACCTCTCACTCAATATATTTACGCCATGAACAGTTTTCCACTTTGTTCATCTTTTATATCCTCACATTCTCCCCTCTCTTTCAGAGTTTATTATAATGTAGAACAATAAATAAAAGGAGGAAAATGGAAAGAAACACCGCGTGTATCAACAATTTTCCTCTCTTGCTGAATTTCTTATATGCATTCTCGCATTCTTTCCACCCCACAAAATGCTGCTCAACGAAACTGTGACAAAAGAAATTATCCTCATCGTAAAATTAGCTATACTATTATTAATATAATGTGCAATTTATTTCTTTCTATCAAGTGATATTGTAGTAGGAAATTAGTGAAAAACTTCTACAATTCTTTCTATATTATATTTCTCTTCTCACATTTATCAACCAGATAGAATTTCATACTCACTATACTGATAAAATTGTATTTTGCACGAAAAGGAGAAAAATACATGTCTGACCAACGAATAAATCCTATCGAATTGATAATGTGTGTTAATACCTCTCTAGAAAATCAATTGACTAAACGGAAAAAGGGACTTCCTCAGATACATTTGTTAGCTATAAAGTATTCTTTCATAGAAATAAATCTTTCTCTCTATTCAACCACACTAGCGTGTAAAAAAGAGAACTATAGTTATGTTAGGTAAGAATATGAATCCACAGGTCGTCTTTAAATATGTTATATTTTCTCTCTTCTTCCTCTTTTATTCTCGTTTTTTTTTGGATATATAGAAAACCATAATGGTTTGAAGCTCATTTTCCTGATTTTAATCATTTGCCTTTTAAGTTATCCCTTTTATTTCGACAAGATGATGACAGTCTTACTGCTTCTCTTCCTCTCATTTCCTCTCCACTCCTCATTCGTCTCTTACAATTTTCACTGCGCCTCCGAATGTCACTTGTTGAATGGATAATGAAGAGATGACGAACGAAAATAGTCACAAATCGATGAGACCTGCGAATAAAATGGGACAACATTACTCAAGGGTAAGGCTTTTGGTCACTTCTGCAGCTCTCATACACTAATGAGGCAATTGCGGCACAAGCCATTTATCATTTCAGTAAATTCCTACGGACAGAAACTCCTGAGGAAAAATAGTCTCAATGCCCATTCTGGGTCGTAGATCACAATGGATTTTCTCCTGCTGTGGGCGTCGATGTGTAATGTAGTTTAAACGAATTCATTGAGCACCGCAATTCATGCACAGCCACACATTTCGTACTGCCAGACATCATCTTCTGCCTCCGTCGAATTTCTGTTCGCATTTATTAAATATGTGAGGCGCCCAACACTCCGACGCCCCCCAAATCGAATGTAATTTGTGGCATCTTAAAGCTCTGAAGCAGTGCAGGGAACGCTTTCCCAGCGGAAATTGCTCTGCAACTTTGGGTGAATTGAAAACGAAAGTGCTTAAATAGTTAAACGCACAATTATTGCTCTCTAAATCATCTAAACCCAATTAATTTCATGTAAATGTTGCCATGGCAACACTGTAGTTTCAAGTATTAACTACTAACGATTCCCCGATGGAGTTAAAACATCGTTCAACATATTGATATTTTGTATTCGCATTCATTTCCCTTTGCAGAAAAAAAAGCCCCACAATTCAAGCTTATCATCATGATCACAATCGTCTAACTTCATTCGCAATTCTCTCTTGAAAGAAATATTTATGTTTTTCTCCCACTCATTAGTGCAAAACTATACAGTTTCTCCCCGTAAGTATTTTCGCTTTTGGGTCATTTGGAAAAATTCCAGCATTAGCCGAAATCCCAGCGAATATTTCTTCTGTCTATGAAAATCTGCAATGTCTTAATTATCACCGATTCGTGGCGATAAATGGATATATGAAAAATATATTACTTAAAAGCGCCTCGAGAAAGATTTTTGTTGTACACAAGAAAACTTGTTTTCCATCATCTTTTAACGTACATTTAGCAACTTTTTTCCCCCTCTCACACCCCCCAATCGTACTATGTCACTCTCTACGCTTTATCAACATCTCTCTCTCTCTTTCCTCTGCAACTCTCTCGCAGAGAGCGAGAGAGAGACGAACTCTGGAGCGTTAATAATAAATAAAGTGTCGTGTGAGAAATGAGACGAGGTGAGAGCATGATAAATAATAATAAATTGCTTATCGATTATAATCACACGACCTATTGATAGCAGTCATAAGAAAGTCATAAAAAACATGAGAATGTAAATTCAGCGCGGCTTAGCCGCAAATGCTCTTTTTTGCGCGCGCGAAAGACGACACTTTCATATGCCATTGGGCAATATAATGCCAAAGGTGCGAAAAGCGAAGAGCCTTAATCAATTTTCCGTGAAACACTTTTGAGGTGGAATAAAAATTCTCTGATAACGCTAATACTGCAGAATGTGATAATTGAATTGTGAGTCAATATTGAGGAATATTCGATAGCTTTGTAATACAATGATTAGAGAGTAAACAATATCTGACGTTGCAAAAACAGTGATAGAATTTGCGTCGTGGCATCAGTGGAAAAAAAAACATTCACACACAATCCTAAAAGCAAAGCAATAGCAACAAAAACCGCTCTTACGTACGAAAATCCTGCATAAAATTAGAGTTGTGTTTTAAGAAGAACAACCTTCAATTCAACCTTGAACCGGAGCTTTAAATCGATGTATCAAATATTCACGATTCAATACAACACAACAGTTATGTTGTCATCTATTTGGGAAACGCAAAAATATTTGTATCCGGACTAGAGTGCTCAAGAATTGTAATTTCGCAGTTCTCACAGTGAGCCAAAGAAGCCACTGCAAACGAGAATGCAGAAGAGCCGAAGCGAAAGAGAGATCACTGAATTTTAATTTAGTGCTGTGGCTGAAATAAGAAGTTGCTATAACATTAATGATGTCAATTTTACCTTTTTCGCCTCTTTTTTCCTTACCAGAAAAACCCATCCACATTTCATTCATAATTCATCATTGCCTTTCTCGCCCAGTCAAACGAAAGCAAGCGAACACATGTGACGAATAATTTGTACTCTTCGCTCTTCGGGGTGAATTTTCATTTGGCAAAATGAAAAAAAAGAAACATCCCTTGGAAAAAACCAGAAAAATTATCAAGAAAAACTCAATAATTCCACATCGCACGTCGCAAGGATGAGACTCTTTAGTCGCGTCTCTCAATGTGAAGTGTGCGAATAGTAATTTTACAATATGTGATGAGAATATTGATAGATTGGCAGATAAAATATTATGTAAATATTTCAATTCATATGTATGTTTACGGGAAACAAGGTGTAGCGGAAATGCTTGATTGTGTTCCCATATTAAATTCAAAAACACAAAGCCATATAAAACACTAAGAATTATATGAAAAAGTGTTTTCTAATCACATTACATAAGTATGCAAAGAAAGTCAGACTGGCTGAGCCTTAAGCTGACGCAAAGATTCTCCGCACTTGAGACTCTTTAGTGACTTCTATTCGCCTCTCTTTTTTTTTGCACCTAACATATCAATGAAGCGCACAGGTTGTTTTTTCCCCTCAAGCCATACTGTACGAATCTGTGAATAATCTCCACTTAGATTATGAAAACAAACAATTGATTATTTTTCCCATCGAAATCAATTATCACATTAAACATGACTTGCGGAAAAAAAATATTAGAGGGATTATTCCCATGTCTATTTTTTCCTTCGCATAAACACGATGCCTGATAAAAATTATTAAACGTAGAAACTTCAAACTATACCGAAATGCGGGGCCGTTAGGACACTCCACACTCAACGTGAAATAGAGGTTATTTCACCAGCATTAACGAGCTCAAACGACTTAAGTCAGTGCAAATACATCACTGAGAAACTCTTGATCCACACCTGGCCAGTTTTGCCCCACTCTCCGCTACTCCTCAGCCACTCAGTGTTGCCAAGAGGAGCTTCGCTCTGGCAGAGGCTGAATAGCATCGAAGATGCGTAAACAGACAGCAAGGAATTTATCTCCAACCCAATATAAAGAGGATCTAAATCTAAAAAGCAATTATCAATATGGAAACACATTCGGAGAGAAAAATTGTGCCTCGCCTTTTTCTCTATTTTCTAATCTTCTCGCCCCTCTCGAGAGAAACTGTGTATGAACAGCACGTCAGAGACTCGGTAAACGAGATGAATTCACCAAACTTGGTGACTTTTTGTATCTCCCTACTTTATCGAGATAAATGATTAGAAAGACCTTGTGTTGTTCTCTTTATCATTACATTTTTCCTTCTGTCGCTGCTAAATTGTTTTCCACTTGGAAAACTCATATATTTAAATAATTGAGCAAAAATAGATACAAATTATGGGAGTCTCGAGCGCACAAGTGTATTGGAGACTTTTCTGGCCTCTGTCGCCCCACAACACACTCGGAAAGTGCGTGTGGGAAAAAGATACGCTTCACATGTAGTGGAAAAAGCCACGTTGGAAAATTATTTAAGCACAATCTCACGTACCATAAATTGTCGCTGATGGCAAGAGCGAGAGAGAATCATGAGACATGAAAATAGATGTAGAAAGGGAGCCCAGATAAAGAATAATCTCTTGCAAGATGTCTCCATCTTTCCCTCTCTCTCTCTCTCTCGCGCGCACATTCCGCACAGTCAAGGTAAGAACATGTACATAAGTACAATATGCGCTACTCGCAGAGCAATACATATTTCAGACGACATTCCGCATGATGGAAAAATTTACTTAAATCCAATAAATTTCGTGACTTTTCATCCCCAAAAAATGAGATGAATATCAAATACAAAAAAACACGCTATCAATTCAATTTCTAGTCCCTCTTTTCACTCTATTATTACACACACACACACACCCACGTACTATATTGTGCTCAATGTGATCCAATCGTTGGGGGGAATTCAAAAAATATCCATTTCGACTTATTCTCCTTTTTATGGCGCAACATTCTCCTTTATACTTAACACACTTACAATCAATTTATTCTACATTTAACGTCCGTGAAAGAGAAAATTCACTGATAAGAAATATCAACAGAGAGTCGTAAAAAGGTTACAAAATCAAAAGCAAGAAACTGTGGCGAAGGAAGTCAATTAACAGGTGTGAATGCATTCGCAGCGAGACCTGCAACTCAATTGACATTGTTAAATAATATTGCCCAGATTAATCCAGCACACAAATTCCGTATGTAAAGTTATGTAAATGCTATTTTGGAAATTTCATTACACGCCCCGCATAATACAATGCATGAATTTTCGTTAATGTCACTTCTGTATCTATTTAATCAATTATGGCATTTTCAGAGAGGCTGGAAAATTTTCACATGGCTTTTAGCCATCCAATGGCAAAATGTATAACATATAACGTCATACGAACAGCGTCAGCCCACGACAAATTATTTGATGGATTCTGCCATCTAAATTTTCATTCCTCTTATTAAATTTAAAAAGACAGACGCACGGAAAAAAGGACAGAAAAATACGCAAAATACGTTCATTGTTCTCCCCGCATTCGTTTTCTTATCAATTCCTCCTCTCTCTCCTCCCCGCTTACGGAGAAGATGAAGAAAGAAAGGGAACCGTCTTCACCTCAGCCGACAACATCTCGGCACTCGATGACACAATATTCTATAGTGTCGTGGCCGCGCGAGAAGTAGAACAAAAAAATTAGGAAAGAGAATAATATTATTAGACTCCTCACACAAACACAATTCAATGGCAATTCTCACAAACACACTCGTCTAAAAATATTATTTAGCGCCTTAAAAGAAAACACAGTGGGGAGAAATTAGATGAAAAAAAAATACGTTAAACAGTTTATAAATAGACTTTTCCATATAGATTTGTCCCCTTCCGCGCCTCTCGTCTCCTCCCTTCTTCCGATTCTTTTATGATCTCTTATGTATAATCAATTTGCCATAGCATCCTAACAGAATTTATTGATTATGGCCAAAATTCAGAGTCGCTTGTTTGTCTCTGGATTC